TTCGTCACTATTTTAATTAACTGCAACTTTGAAATTTACAACTTCTAGTTTTTGCAAAGAACTCGTTATAAATTAGACATGGGATTTCATATGTGTGTGTGTATTACTAATTAACAACTGGCTTTTTAGTACTATTGTATAATTTAACTATTGTTCACTTCCAATTGAGCTTTTGGAGCTTTGAAACATATTTTAAGAAAATGATACTCCCTCCATTTCAGTTTATAAGATATTTTTAAAGGTAATTTAATATTCTAAAATATAAGATATTTTAAGAAAAGTAAAATTTAATTAATTATAATTATTTCAATATTACCTTCACTGATTATATTTTATTTTTGTATTTAATGTTTCACATTCGTTAAACCCTGGTTTCTGTTATAACAAAGATAGAGAAGATTTTGTTTTTTAAGAGATTAAATTCTCAATAAAAGATAAGATATATTTGTGCTTATCGATTTTCCAAGCAAATGTTTCAAAACTTTTTCTGTTATACATATAGTACCAGTACTGCTCTTTTAATATCCCAATTAATGCTTTCAAAAATACTTGAGATTACCGGTATTCTCATTTCACTATCGATATTGTGGTTTTAACTTAGAAAATTTCAATACTTCTCTTAGTATCAAAACTAAGTTTTAATAACTAAACCAGTTCCACAACTTAAGATATTCAAAGATTCTAGCTAGTTATACCGATATTCTCTTGTTACTACTGATATTGTAAAACCTAAAAGTCCTCAAATATTTTATACTGAAACTATTAGTTAGCGGTATTGAAGTATTTAAACAAGTTCTCATTTATTTTGATTAATATCGGAATTAATATATTAATACTTGTATTGTTGTTCATTTTCTAAAAGATTATACCGGTAATAATATTTATGTCCCCTGTTTTACTAATGCTTTCAAGTATAGTTATCAAACTCTCGAGTTAACTCTACAAGTTTAATATTTTTGTATTTTTAATTTATAAAATCGTGTTAACTTACTTATAAATTCAGACAAGATACAAATTCAATTAAATTCACAAGCTTATCTCTAAGTTTATTGTTTTTATATTTTTAACTTATAAAATTATGTCAATTAATTTATAAACTTAGACTAGATGCAAGCTTGATCAAACTTATTAAGCTCGTTAATTTTTTTTAAAATTGAGCGAGTTAAGTATATATTATGAAGAATTCAGTTTATAAAAGTTATAAAGCCTAGTTCAAAGGAAAAAAAAACTTAAAATGCAAAAATTAATATTAATAAAAAAGAAAACAAAAATATCAAAAATAAGTTCTACTATTTTAAAATTTTTATGTCTTATATATCATAATTTATCAATGTAGATGAGTTTAATTTCAATGATTTATACTTTTAATATGTTTAAATTAAATTATAGTTATATTTTAATGGCTATATAGTTAACAAAGGTAAACCATTATAAGCTTCCGATTTGAGTTTATAATATGAGTTTACATCCTTGTCACGAGTTTATTTAAATTTGTAGTTTAACAGTCTTGCTTTTAAGAGTTTTTGGATCAATAAGGATACTACGGAATTACTATCAGTACTCTTTGTTTATTTTCCAAATTATTACTGGTACTATTGGCTGATACTCATATTCAACATGTTATTTCCTAAGTTTTGTAATGGAATATCCATACTGTCTTGTTACTACCGATATTTATGTGTTAAGTTTTCAAAACTGAGTTAAGTATACTAGAATGGTTGTTTCTTCAAGCATATATATTATCTATCAATGAGAATTCCTATACTATCCAATCACTACTAGTATTTGTTTCCAAACAATATATTTAAACACCAGTACGATTCGATTACTTCAGGAAGCAAGTCCTTTAAACTTATAAGTTTTACGCTGATATCACTCGTATTGTGGCATTACTGCCGACATTCCCTTCAACGAAAATATGTCAAAGCATTAAATGCTATTTAATAAAAAGTAACCATTTATGCTTTTCCAATATGTCCGAAAGTACATATCTTGTCCATCTTTTCTGGCGAAGCCCCTGCTGCTGTAGACAGCAATGGACGTAGGAAACTGAGCTAATGGGGGCATAGTTATTTAAAATTTAAATAATAAAAAATAATTTAATATATATAATAAATATTTAATTTTGTAAAATAACCTTAAAAAAGAAAAATTAAAATAATATTTTTATAAAAATAATCTAAATTTAAATATAATGTACTTAAAATTTAAAATATATTGAATTTAGGTAAAAATATAAAAGATTTAAATTTTTCTGAACTTAAATATATTTTAATTTGAGTCTTGTGAATTTAAAATTATTAACGTAATGGGGGCACATTTTTAAAAATTCCACCTCCTCTTTATAAATATTCTCAAGATGTGCCCCCACTGCACCTGCGTCTGCCACTGGTTGCAGACATGAGAAGAATGATGATTTCATTGCACCTCTTACAAGTTACAATTATCAGAATTCAAGAGCAACGACTAATTATTAAATGAGTCTTAACGGATATTTTATTAGTTTGCGCTGGCTATAAATGCAACTCTTGTATGAAAAGGAAGCATACGTGCTTAAGCATTCGATATTCGCAGCAAGTCTCTGTTGCTACATTCATTATCCCTGTACTCCTTCCATTTTTAATTATTAAAGAAGTTATCACTTTTAACTTACATTTTTTTTATAAATAAAATTATTTATTTTAATAAGTATTTACTGCACATTTTTTAAATTATTTCTTATAATTTATATTAATAAAAAATAATTAATATATATTTATGTTGATTCATATAAGGCATTGTAGTCTACTTTTTTTTAAAATTGTATGATACAATTTTTTCTCTACACGAATACACACATATAATTGGAGGGAGTACTTCATTAGTTACAAATTCATTGGAGGGAGAAAGTTATTCTGTAATTGATTACTTGGGTGATTATATTGATCTGTTTTTTGTATACACTAAGTAATTTTACTTAAGTTCAAGAAATTAAGTGGATACATTAGTGCTTGGGTTATACTAAGGCATCTAAGAGCCTCTGAGAATCTTGAAAGATATATACTAAAACTCCCAAGCGTGAGTATTGGGGAGGCAAGTGGATTAGGTAAACCAATATAAATCCTAATATTGTATCTCTCTCTCTGCTTGAAATTATCTCTCCTCTTTCAATTAACTCTTGTGGAATCATTGTAACTCCTATCTCTTTATCATTATGCGAAATTATTTATTATTCAAATTTTTAATAACCCAATTCACCTCTATTTTGATTTCTTTAAAAATATAAAATCATATTTTTTTATAAAAAATGTATTTGAAAAAAAGAAAATATAAAATGTATTTAATGAATTTGATTGATTTGCATAATTTTACCAAAAAGATATCTTACAAAATTGAGATGGAGGGAATATTTCTTTTACATAAGAATGGGTATTCTGTTTGCTCTTACTCCTTCCGTTTAAAAATTTAAGGTATTTTTAATAGAATCTCACATTCTAATAAAGTAGTTACTTATTTTTAAATTAACCTTATCTTTTTATATTTACTCCTATTAAATACCTTATAATAAATATAAAGTCATTATCAATAAGGGTACTTTTGAAAAAAAAAAGGTAATGATTACACTTTGAAAGATTAAAAATTTCTTATATTTTTTAAAATTTAACTTCTTTAAAAAATATCTTATATTTTTAACGGAGGGAGTAGAATTTATGTCAAATAAGAATATGGGTTCTTCATTGATATTTTGACCATTCGAAGTCCTAATTAAGTTTTCATTTCTGGTTTTCAATTGCTATTCTTCCTCCAGAGGGAACTTTCCAGCTCTACATCGATCTCTTTTTCTTCTCATGCTTTTATTAAAGTAAAAACACTTCTTGTTCTTGTCTGCTTGAGATTACAATTTACGCTTTTATTAAAGGAAAAGCGCCTCCATCGGCCGGTGCTTTCCTTCAGGCCCCAAGAAGCGTGGATCTTTAATTAATCCCCCAATTATCTATTATCCTAATTAATTAAATCATTAAGAAATAAACCACACAGATATAAATAAATACTATGTTAATGTGTCGGATATGAATTTTATTGATATTTATATACACTAATACTAATATGGCTCAGGCCTCTGATCTCAAAAATTCTATATCCATATAAATAAAAGTATATGCAAAAGAGTAGAGAGAGAGAGAGAGAGAGTGTGTGTGTATATATATATATATATATATTTTTTGCAACTTCTTATCATTATTTATTTTGACTGTTTGTTTATGCTCCTAGTTAGAGTAGAGCTGACCAAAGCCCAAACTACCTATAGCCAACTTATCCAACATAAATAAATTTAGATACTACTTTATTTATTTAATTAATTTTCTTTTCATTCTTAACCAGCCAACTTATTGGCCAGTGATTTATGGAGACAATGAATGGGAGTGTTTTAATCGCGCTAAGAGAGAGTCAATTTCTTAGACGAATGATATATAGTAAAATCTAAAAGATTTTTCATCCAAAAAAATGTAGAATATTAAATTAATTATAACAGTCATGTCTGCATTAAAAGTTTTTGAAAAACTAGCTAGTTATAAATAACAATTCAAACAGTTATAAATTAAATAAAAAAAATCTCAATTACATATACTAAGAGTTATATTTATAATTTAAATGTTTTATTTATAATTGAAACCTCTAAATTTATAATTAGTTTGATTATTATATTATTTGCATCTTATTCTATGGAAAATTTTGTTGATGACATTAATTTTTTCTCTTATGTATGACTCAACTGTCATTCTCCCAAATTTCTTGGTGAGCATGTACCAAGCCATCTACGGTATAATGTCAGTGATAATACAGGTCCAAATGCTGATGCTTTTGTTCCATCGCTTCTTCCTTTTTTGTTTTCATGAGGCTGCATTCCATTTAAAGGAAATGAAGCACCTGATTCTTTGCTTTAGATTGGACGTAAGAAATAAACGAAATGCTATAAATATACATGCCATATGTGCGTGATAGCTGCAGATTTAAAGAAGCAACAATGCATTGACGTACGTAGTGTGTGAAACATGGAGCAAGCAGCTGCAACAGGTGGTACTGGTAAGCGCAACTAATTAATTAGTGTTTGTTGAATTTGTTTGGAAGAAATGTATAATTAGATAGTTTGAGTTTTGTATGGTTAAGTTATGTAAATGTGAATGGATTTGAACTGATACGTGAAGTCTTATATTAGATAAAATTATATTTAATAATTGATATATAGTAAAGAGAAAGGATCCACAACTTAATTAATTATTTAAATTTTTAAGTTAACATGTGATGTCCTTCCACCACTTTTTGCCCATTTCTCATTTTGATCCCCATTCCTAACATGAGCACAATTCTAAATGAATTTCAGAGATGAGAAGAGAGGTAGAAGAAGGCTTAGAGATGGCTATACTGTACAAGGCAATATGTGACAACAACTGGTTGGCTGCAAAAGTATTCATTGATGCCCATCCTGGTTGCTTGAACGCGGAACTCTCTGCTAAAACTGGCGAAACAGCTCTTCATGTGGCCGCAAAGTTCGGCCGTGTGGGCATCGTGGAGGAGTTGGTGAGATTAGTGCCATCTGAGTATCTTGAAATACCCGATGCTCTTGGCCATACTCCACTTATAACAGCTGCAATGCATAGCGGACTCATTCCAACTGCAGCATGCTTGATCCAGAAAAATAGCAATGTACTTGCAATAGGCAATCCATGGCTTCCTGTCGCATCGGCTTTTCGTAATGGCCACAGCCAGATGGGACGCTATCTCTATTCTCTCACTCCTTTGCGAGTCTTAAAACCAGAAAATGGCCTTCCGGGTCCTACCCTTCTCACACAATGTTTTTTCTCAGGAAATCTTGGTAACATAACTTAACCTGCAACATATTCTAGAGAGTTATCATAACATTTTGTATTCCTGTTGTTTTGCCATATATTCCATCTCAATTGTGCCATGTGAATAGATATTGCGTTGGATTTGCTTCGTCGATGCCCAGAGCTGCTTTTCGCTCCTGACGCCAAGCCGATGGCAGCGATTGTCCGAATCGTGTTCTTCCTTCCTCAATCTTCTCTCAACACAAGTCAACTTGGGTTCTGGAAGAGATGGCTTTATCACTGTTAGTACATGCCCATGTTTCTACTGCCTTTACTTATTTGCTGGCCAAACTGCTGAATTATGATGATGAGAGTAATGATAGTGAAGCTCAACGTATTTTAACTATTGTGTTATATATATATATATATATATATATTCATTCAAGATGATTGCTTCAGAAATTTTCCTAAATATTATTTGAAGAAGCTTACCTTTCTCCATTTCTTTGATCACATTTTTGGTGGAAGATACCAAGACACCATCAACCACTACCACTGAGCATTCCTTTGTAGATATGAAAAACGAAAGCGAGAGTAACAAAGCCCAAGGTACAATATTCTCTATCCCTTGATTAGAGGATGAAATCAAGTAATATGACAAATCTAATAAAATAAAGACTAAAAGATGTAAATTCTTTATTTTGTTTATCATATTTCATGCATGAAAATCAGGTTTGTCAGCATGTAAAATTTGTACAAGCTAAGTAGCTCAATGTCAACATAATGAAAACTTGAAAAGTCCTTAAGCTCAAGCTATGTATAAGATGCTAAATGTTTGGCACTTAAGTCGAACGTCGTTATGACCTAAGAAAAAGAGATAGACGTACACACACACACACACACACACAAAACAAGTTATTTGTTTGCACGTGTAATCCTGTCGAATGATTGGACTAACAAATTATTCCATCTCAATAGGGTTAAATCTATTGCAGTTTCTCATCTCCCACATCTATAACTTTTCAGGTATGCATGCTAAGTTCCCCAAAACTTCAATTGGATACTTTTATTAGTTTTGTTACTTCACATGATTAAAATCGACTGACATTAAGTTGGATATATCATATATCTGATGGGTGACCTATTGTCCAGGAATGAAGGAAATCTACAAGATGAAGTTGCAACATGCACAAGCAACTGAAATTTTAAACCTAGTTTGCGAGAATCTAAAATTTCTAGATCTCAATAAAAAGAACAAGATTGCAGAAGCAATCAATGTTGCAGCTAGGGAAGGGAAAGCTGAGTTTTTGTTACGAGTTGTCAAATCAAACCCAGAACTCATCTCGTTGGTCACTTTTCCTCATCCAGAGGGCCACATTTTCTTCACTGCCATTTCATATCGTCAAGCTGAGATTTTCAACCTCATCCATGGGTTTCGATTTAGGAATGCAGCATCATCACTCATTTTTCCCAACAGCAATACCTTGTTCCATGTGGCAGCCATGTTGGCTCCTGCTTCACAACTCAACCGCATATCTGGTGCCGCTTTACAAATGCAAAGAGAATTGCAGTGGTTCAAGGTTATAAGTTTAAATATAATTAAATGCTTTTGTGTGCGTGCGTGCGAGGATATATTATTTGGGAAAAAGATGTAACAAATATTTTGAATAGCTACAATTGATTCAAACTTTTATCTTGCTTTTTTTTTTTTCTTAACATAGGAAGTAGAGAGTGTGATGGATCCTGGAAATAGGTTATTTCAAAATAATGAGGGGTTGACTCCAGTGGAATATTTCAAGATAAACCACAAAGAACTGAGGAATGAAGGGGAGAAATGGATGAAAGATACTGCATCTTCATGCTCAGTTGTGGGTGCTCTGATCGTCACCATCATGTTTGCGGCAGCTTTTACAGTTCCAGGAGGGAATGATCAAAATTCTGGGTACCCAATGTTTCTGAAAGAAAAGTTGTTCAAGGTTTTTTTAATTTCAGATGCATTGTCATTGTTTGCGTCTACTACTTCTGTGCTTACATTTTTAGGAATCCTTACGTCACGCTATACAGAAGAAGACTTCCTTTACTCCTTGCCTACAAAACTGATCATAGGCCTTTCTACACTTTTTCTCTCCATTGCAACTATGATGATGGCCTTTTCTACAACCATAATCATCATGTTGCAACATCAGTCATCACGTGCAGGGGCATTTCTTCCAGTTATTATGCTTGCTAGTGTTCCGGTGACCCTCTTTGTGTTATTACAATTCCCTCTTCTTGTCGAAATAATTTCTTCTACTTATGGTCGTGGCATTTTCAACAAGAAGGTAGAGAAATGGCCTTGAATGTGTGTGTATATGTCTTATTGTCTAGGAGGAAGGGGACCAGCAAAGGCTAATACCCCTTCAAATTTTTTAAATTTTTCTTAGTATTATATAGATATTACATATTTCCAACCTTCCAAATTTATGAAAACTTTGTAAAATACACAGACATTACATATTTCCACATGTATTTTCTTTCTCTCTTTTTTGTGTGAAATGTATAAATTTTCTATTGAATAAAAAAAATTTCCTCTTGAATTTAAACTAATTAATTTTCTTTTATTTTTACCCTAACTAAGGGCATAAGTTGGGATATATGTCTCATATATATATATGTGTGATCTTATGATGCCAAACTAATTAGTTTAAAAGTAGTTACAGTTGATGATCATCGTGGACATAATAAATTTCATATGTAATTGAGAGAATCCACCATGCATGCATTCTGTGATAATCCTGAAAAAAATAATAAATAAAATAAATAAATAAATAATTAGTAATAAAAAATCTATAATAATTTATTTAGAACATATTTTATTAGAAACAATTATAATAATAGGAAGTGTTGGTAGAGTGTTACTCCCCCGGTCCTATTTATAAGTCATTTCTACCAACCTCATCAATACCAATACAATAAAAGTACAAGGAATAAAAGTAAGTAAAATTTCAAACATGCCCCTATATAACAAATCTAAAAAATAATGTCCTGTTACTTTTTCTCTCTCATGAAGTGTAATTTTGGAAATACCTCTCAAATATTACCTAAAAAGACGCATCGTGACTTATAAATGAGACCAAATGCACCTTCTAAAATTGAACTTATAAATGGGACCGGAGTGAGTAAGTATGAATCGCCTGATGCAAATAAATGGGATTTTATTTTTCTCAACGCTCTGAAATCACCAAAATACCCTCCCTCACAAGATTAGATTTCTCTCTCTCTTCTCCCTTGTTTCAGTTTCGGTGGTGCAGAGTAAAGGGGGAAAATTCTGGAACTTGGGTGTGCGGTTCTAATCTCCATCTCATCTGCATCTTCGTCTCTTCTTCTCATTTCCAGCGGTCGACGGTGGTGTGAATGCCGTAATCCTCCATTGCTAGCTGCAACGTCGTGGGTCCTTGGTCCTTCACTTCACCGTTGGTCTCTGTTTCTTTTTTCTTCACTGTCGGTGCTGTCATATCTTCTTCTACCTCCGTTATTCTTTTCGTTCGTGCGTGGGGAGCAAAGGAAGAGTTGGTCTGGTGCTGTGGGAGGACTAACTCGTGGGTTAGAGACTGAATTATTACTGTCTTCTTCTTCCCCTGTTCAGCTGTAAGTTTCGTTTTTCTTCTTCCCTGTGGATGCACTGTCAGCTACTTGAGGTAAGGAGTTTTGAACTCTTTCATTTGTTGGTTCTATTGTGCACGTGAATGGGTGGAAGAATGGAGTTGAATGCTGAAAAATCTGTCTTCTTTGTAGCTGTACGTTGCCGAATATATATAGGTGTAAAAGAGGAAGAAGTTGGATCTAAAATGGAATTTTGTGACCGTAAAGAAAAGGAAAAGAAAAGAGAAAAAGAAGAAAATGAGGTGGCGTGAAATTATAGAATTTTAATGTGCGTTTGCTGCTGTACATATTGTTTTAGAGAAGAGAAAATTTTAAATATTAAGTGGAAATTCTGGTTTAGTATTGCTATATGAGATGTAGAAAATGATGATTTAATTTTTTTTAAGTAAAGATTGATTTGTCTAATGATGAGAAGGAACTTAGGAAGCTGAATGTTCATTTTATACATTAGAGAATTGTGGAAAATTAAATCAAAGAGGAAAAAGCTTAGTTTGAGCTTGAACAACTAATGAATGAAAGGTGTTTGACATAATGCCTTGTCAAAAGAAGCTTTACTTTTATTTGATTTTGCATTTTTAAAAATTTCATTAGTCCTTGTGAGAAGTATGCTAATATAGAAGTGATTGATTTGAAAATTAACTTGCAAATTTATAATTTGATAATGAGTTTGCATGTAGTTATTTAAATACTTGAAACTTATATGGGTATTAGTGAATTTTGACTATTTTAATTGAACGATTGGAATCAATGCACCTAAAGTGTTGGTGTAAAACCCAAGAGTAAATTTTACCTCAAGTAAGTAGATTGTTTTGACTAAAACAAATTGGTGGAGACTAGTGAAATGAATGATAATGCTTGGGCTAACTTTAAAGCATGAATTTTAGTTTTGAAATTCTAGATGACAGTAGTTGATTTGAAATTATGTTAAAAAAAATTAAAAATCTATTAAAATTTTAATTATTATATCTTTATAGGGTGAGTAGAAGAGGAGGATACTGGTAGAAATTAAAGAAAGAATATTTTGAAAATTTGAAACTTCGACAAGTAAGTGAATAGCATTTTCTTTAATTTATTTTTATTTTTAATAGACTTTTATTGAAATATTTCACTCTTATGAATTATATTAGTTTTGAAATTTTGAAATATTGATGATGGATAGTTAGATGATAATATATGCATTTATTTCCTCAAGAAATATATTTTGAAGATTTATAAAATTATTTTGTTTATTAAACTCTTGAAATTCTTGGTTATTCAAGTAACGCAAACTTGTATATTATTTATGAAATATTATTTTTGACAAGCCTTAAATTGAAATTTGAAATGCTTCATGCAAGTTGGGTATTAAAATGTAAATTTGTATTTCAAAAGTGATTATTTTTCTCGTATGTTTGAAGTGTAATTTTTAAGAGAACTCTAAATAAAACACTATTGCTAACGGTAGTTCTGTTAGCCCGTAGCGCGCTATGGTTTAGAACTAGCTAGTTTGTCTCGTGAGCTTTGTTCTTACGTTTGTTATTTGTGGGCTTTGTACCCACATTTGTTTCATGACTTTGACTGCGTTTAGTTATTTACCCTCGTGAACCGTATGTCCATATTTGTTTCGTGGCTTCGGCTGCATTTGGTTATTTATCCTTGTGGACTGTGTGTCTACATTTGTTTCATGGCTTTGGCTTCGTTTGGTTATTTACTTTTATGAACTGTGTGTCCACATTTGTTTCGCGACTTTGGCTGGGTTTGATTACTTACCCTCGTGCACTGTATGTCCACGTTTATTTCGCGGCTTCGGCTGCGTTTGGTTACTTACCGTCATGGACTGTGTGTCCACATTTGTTTTGCAACTTTGGCTGCATTTGGTTACTTACCCTCGTAGATTGTGTGTCCATGTTTGTTTTATGGCTTCAGCCGCGTTTGGTTATTTACCCTCGTGGATTATGTGTCCACGTTTATTTTAAGGTTTCGGCTATGTTTGGTTACTTACTCTCATGGACTGTGTGTCCACGTCTGTTTTGTGGTTTCGGCTACATTTGATTACTTACCCTCATGGACTATGTTTTCACGTTTGTTTCAAGGTTTCGGCTGCATTTGGTTATTTATCCTTATGGACTATGTGTCCACGTCTGTTTTGTGGTTTCGGCTGCGTTTGGTTATTTAACCTTGTGGATTGTGTGTCTACATTTGTTTTCGTGGCATAAGTCGTGTTTGGTTATTTATCCTTTTGGACTGTGTGTCTAAGTTTGTTTCGCGGCTTTGGCTTCGTTTGGTTATTTACCCTTATGGATTGTTTGTCCATATTTGTTTCACGGCTTCGGTTGTGTTTGGTTACTTACCCTCGTAGACTGTATGTCCACGTTTGTTTCGCGACTTCAACTGTGTTTGATTACTTACCCTCGTGTACTGTGTTTCCACATTTGTTTCATGGCTTCGGCTACGTTTGGTTACTTACTGTCATGGACTGTGTGTCCATGTTTGTTTTGCAGTTTCGGCTGCATTTGGTTACTTACCCTCGTGGACTGTGTGTCCACGTTTGTTTTATGGTTTCAGCTGCGTTTGGTTACTTATCCTTGTGGACTATGTGTTCACATTTGTTTCAAGATTTCGACTGCATTTGGTTACTTACCTTCATGGACTGTGTGTCCACGTTTGTTTCAAGGTTTCAGCTGCGTTTGGTTACTTATTCTTATGGATTGTGTCCATGTCTGTTTCGTGGCTTCGGCTATGTTTGGTTATTTAACCTCGTGGACTGTGTGTCCACGTTTGTTTTCGTGGCATAAGTCACGTTTGGTGATTTATCCTCGTAGACTGTGTGTCTACGTTTGTTACCTATTCTATTGAGTTTTCAAAATTTTAAATGTTTGACTAATATGTGTTTTCAAGATTTTCATGGTTTTGATTAGTAATTATATTATTTTGATTGATGTGCTAATAAATTGTTTTCTTTAAGCACGATAAAATCAATTGTTTTCAATTTACTCTCATTTTATGGTTATGATTATGATTTACAAATTTGTAAGTTTATTATGTTGAATTATCATCTTTTCAATTAGTTTACACTAATATTTAAGTTTATTATTTTAATTCTTTTAAATTCTACTTTAGGAATGCTATTCACTGAAAAAATTTATTTTGGTCTCAGATTTATTAGCTGACGTTGATCCCTCCACCAACCTCTAAAGGGCAATACAGCTATATTGGGTGGAAATTTTGTTTGGTATTATTACTTTTTTTTTATGTCAATATTCAAACTTTATTTATTGTGATTTAGAAGAAAGATTAATTGCTCCACATAAATTGTTGATAGACTTTACTTTGGTTTGTAAACTAGTTGTTGGTTGGAAGGAGCTATACTCTTAATTTATACTATAATCTGTAAAAAATTTTTGTTGTAAAATTTTTTAAAGATCCTAGTTATAGGGAATGTTCTGTTGAAATTTTTACAAAAATATTGAAACTTTCTTATAACAATTAATATTAAAATTATTATAACTTTCATATAATTTGATTAATTTTTTTTCTTTCTTTTCTAAAATGAAATAAATTTTTATTTTAAGGCTTATGAGGATGTGTGAAGTGATTCACACCTATATCAGTCACTCTCTATTTTGGAGGTGTGACACATTCTCTCCAGATTCTCCATCAATATATCTCTACATACTTAATCTTATCCATCATTTTAAATATTAAGAGAGGTAAAAAAAAGATAGTCCAAAATTTCAAGTTAATGAAAACTTGCATACATGTACCAAAAAATAATAATAATAATAACTTGCAAACTTTGTCCTGGGATCGTTTTTTATTTTTTTTATTTTTATGTTTTTTCTATATT